CAACCTACTGCAACCTGCTGTTGTAATATCTAGCAAAGCCCAGTTGAGGACATTACCCTAAGGTCCTCTTTTATGAAGCCAAGAGGAGCCATTTTAGAGCTGTGTGACAGAAAGGAAGGACTCTACTTTTCTTGAACAATTAATGATTTGAAGCCCTTGTGAACAATGAGAGTAATCAGAATCATGGAGTGTGTATGTGATTTTTTTCCTTCTCCAAATACCCTTAAATTGTTGTGAATTATTTTGTACCTTAAATCCATTATCTGAAAGTTATCACTGTATTTAAAAAATAGTGCTTTAAAAAGATATATATATATCTGTTGCCCAGGCTAGAGTACAGTGGCATGATGACGGCTCACCACAGGCTTGACCTCCTGAGCTCAAACAATTCTTCCACCTCAGCCTCCTCAGTAGCTGGGACTACAGGCACACACCACCATGCCTGGCCAATTTTTTTGACCCTTTGTAGGAATAAGGTTTCACTATGTTGCCCAGGCTGGTTTTGAACTCCTGCTCTCAAGCAATCCTCCCGCCATGGCCTCTCAAAGTGCTGGGAATACAGGCATGAGCCTTTGCACCTGGCCTCCCTCATGGTTTTAATATCTACTCTAAAACTAAATAAATGTAAGAAATCTTTTAAAGAATAACACATTTTTTAAGTGGAAAGAAACAGTAATACTAATTTTGAAAAGACTGTTGATGTCACTGTGGTTTATTGGGTAAATACAAAGTATAGGCTCTTGCAATTTTTTAAAAAGCAAAATCAAAGAGATTAGAAAACAAGTACTTCTATCTTCTTTAGAATACAAACATAAATTAGCTTAAACTAACAATTAGGCACTTAAAAATGTAAATGTAAGACAACATTTTAGAAGTACAGACTATAGTTACACTCCTAAATTCTTCCTGAAATGTTTTTACAAACATAAAAGCACAAGCGTGAAATTTCTAAACAAAAATAATTTCCTCTTATATAAAAACAAAAACCTGAATTCAAATCCAATATGCTAAACACTTGATTAAGGTACTAGTGGGTAGGAGAAAAGAGCTTCTGAAATTCACATATTTAATTAAAATGTAAGCATTTAATAAAACTATTACAATAGCATACAGTAGATATCATAATGAAAAATATGTCAAGAAAATAATGAATTCTAGACTTAAAATTTTACTTTACAACAAGGCACTTAACACATTGAAACAGTATAGTAAATTTCCAAAAAATGCAATTGGCTACCTCTCAAATCTTGTAATAATATTTCTCTTGTGAATGTACTGTAACATAACCATACATTTTGCAGCATTAATCATTGCATAGAGGTAAATTAAATAATGAATTCTATCTTGGCAATTAGATTATGTTCATAGTTTCTCTTTTAAAGGACAGTTTAAAATAATTCCACAATAAAGCACTCTTCTAATTCATGTTTCAGTTAAAACACAGCATAGATTAATGAGTAATAAAATAAATCAGAATTTATAACATGTATTTGTATAAAAACTTATCTTTGGGTACTTTGAAATAATTTTCAGTGTTTGGGTATTGAAGAGCACTTATTAATAGAAGAAATATTTTTATCAACTGAGTTAAAGGAGTTAAATTATTGCAACACAAGGACATTAAAAACAAAAATACTAATAATCTTTATATATACAAATAGAAAAGTCTTCAACACATGGCATATAGCTTAAGCTTGATTTAAACATGTAAACTCATTTAAGGAATTCCTTCTCACACTTCCTTACACTACAGAGGTGAGTGTGTCAAGACCAGCTTAAATTTTAAAGCATTTTTACAGTGTAAAACAGAAACAACAACAACAACAACAAAAAGGAATTAAGCAAGAAATATTCAAGGAACAAGATATGAACTTTCAATTAAAAAAGAAACTGGTGAGTTCTATCACATAAATGTGTTTCAAAGTAAACAAAATGTAGGAAGTTATTAAAGGAGACAGTAATGATTGTGATAGTGAGAAGTAAAAATGTTCTACAAATTTTCTTTGATCAAATGGATAAAAGATTAGAATTACAACCCCCTATAATATGAGCACACTTTTTTCTTTGGGAAAAGTTTTAAGTGCTTTGAAGATAATTCATTTTACATGATGCTTACAGATTACTGGAAAAAATAATAAAAAACAAAAGCCTTTTAAAAACATGAAAATACACTTTAAAAGTGGTTTGTGTTCCAAATCATATAATACATTGCCACAAGGGGGCTCTGGTAATTCAGCAAAGAACCCTAATGCAATGCCATCTACAAACCAGACCAGGAACTAAAAATTCACCCTCAGAACAACTTTCTTTCTACAGCAAAACTTGTTTCCCAAGATGCCAGTCTACTTAGTAACAAATTCACAATTGGTTCAGGTGGAACTTGGAATAATGCTTTATTTTCAAATCTGGAGGAGGAGCTCGAAAACTAGAATCTGAGAGAATGCCATTTCCATTTGAAGCATTTAGATTTTAAAAAGTGGCATACTTTTTAAATATGGAAATTTTATGTTATCAATACTTCATTGGTGAACTAAATTACGGGAAAAGCTTCAAACAGAAGCGCAGACTTACAAAACAAGGGTAATGAATAAGGTCTGTATTTTAATTGGCAAAGAAAGGGTGCTCCAAAATTTACTATTTCAAAGGCAAGATCATAATTGATTGTTTTATATCCCTAAGTGGCACACTGGGTTAAATCCCAAGTTTGCTTTACTATATGTAAGTTTCACTATTTCTCTTATTTTTCCAACCTTGGAATTTTGACCCCCCACCACCAGCCCCATCATATTTTCAAAGCACATCCTTCCTCAACATCTATTAGAGAACTATGAACATACATGTAATATGTGTTGTTCATGTATGTTGAGAATTACTGTCCACGCATAGCATCATAGATGTTTTTAAAGTTCTTTAAAGGTGATGGTATTATTTTTTAAAAAATGAATTACTTGATTAAAATGTAAGGCTTACTCTTTCATGGATGTCTGTTACCCAATATACAATGATTTTTTTTAAGCTTAAACACTTTTCCTTATCCAGTTGAAGAAAGTGGGTTATCCAAGACACAGCTGAATAAGGCTCTAAGGTATATTAGATTGTTTCATTTAAATTAGAGACTCAAGGATAATGTATGCCTGGAGAGAAAACCCAGGCTTTCATAGCAGCTAATTTTTCTCATCATCGGACAACAGGAACTTAAAATCAGTGTTTTCAGGAAGAAAATTTTGTTCTAGTACACGTATTGCTATTTAGCAAATGAACATAAGCAAAAGTCATATCGAATTATGTCTACACTCATCAGATAAACTAGATATATGTTTATTATTGGCTTATTTGGGAGGCTGAGGTGAGTGGATTGCCTGAGCCCGTGGGTTCGAGACCCGCCTGGGCAGCGAGACCTCATCTCTACAATAAATCAAAAAATCAGCTGGGCATGGTAGCGCATGCCTGTAATTCTGGCTACTTGGAAGGATGAGGCGGAAGGATCGCCAGAGCACAGCAGGTGGAGGCTGCGGTGGCCAGGAGCGGGCCACTGCACTCCAGTCTGGGCGACAGAGTGAGACTCAAACTCAAAAAAAAAAAAAAAAAGAAAGAAATAATGACAAAAAAAATCCTTGTGTTTCAAAGCTGCCAAGGATGTTTGGGGTTTCAATTCTTGTTTAAAATAACCAGATTAGAGAGTCCTGCTTCCGGCCTTGAGTTCAACTACTTTTCCTTTAGTGATTATTCTATGATGCAGAGAAAGAGCCATTCTGAAAACATACACAGAATTTTAACACCAATGGATGTTGACCCCTTTAAATAAATTTGCACTGTGCTTTTCTCAAGCAATTTAAAGGTCAATTTTGTGTAATCAAGGCTGACTAGTTTATGATGATAAATTTAGGGATGTTTTCCATTCTAAGCAAAGAAAAACTTTCACCTTCGACATAAACATAACTGCCTCCTTCCACCCCTACTGGCCTCTCCCCCAACCCCCTCTAGTGTTGATGGTTTTGTAACCTTAAAACTTGTTTTAAGGTTACTAGAAGTCTTGCAAATTAACTTTCAAATAATGAGGAAATTAAGCCAAGAATTTTCCAAAAGATTCAATAGCATCAAATAATGTACTAAATCTGACAGCATTATATCTGATCAGCTATATGATTTAAAAATCCATCTTTTTTGCATCACCTCAAAGAAATTTAGAAACAATTATTTCCCTTTACTGTGTAGCTGTAACTAGCACACTGATTCCAACAGTATATTATAGTGCAGCACCATGTTATAATTTTCACAGGGTAAAAGTAAAATTACTCAATTGTGGCATACATCCTTAGGACCAGTTAACGAGAAGCCGAGTCTCTTGCTAAACAGCAAGGATACATCACAATTTCGGGCTCCATCCTGGTTTTCCAACAAAGCACAATATAACTAGGAAGAAATCTTTAGTAAAATGGGACCAAATGTATTTCTGAATTCCAATTAGGAGCCCTAAAACAGATCTCATACCAGGGCCTGACCTGGAGGGGAAACAAGCTTTTTCCCCAGGAGTGGCGTGAGCATCAGTTGACACACATGTGTTTTCGGTCTGTGAAAGAATGGTTGACTGCCCCGGGGGTACCAGATCCAAATTTAGCAGGCAGACAGCATCTGAGTGTGTACACAAGGACCACTCATTAGTAGAAATATCCTCATGTTTCCTATGCATCTATCACAGAGATTTTAAGTGAAATATTTACACATGTGGGTGGGGTGTGTCAAATGCTTTCACATTTACTTGGATCACTTTTTTTTAAAAGTATCAGTTAAAAACAAGAAAAAAGTGAAAGTGATACATCATGTATTAGGTGGTAGCAGCAGTGCACATTTCCAGACCTGCTCTCAACCTTCCCCATGACAGGGTAGAAACAAGGTTCATTGGAAGGTTGGTTACTCACAACCCATGGCTCTCCCCTTGCTAAGTTTAATGCTAAAAACCCCTCTCAGTATTAGGTTATTCTATTTACACAGTGGTGGCATATATATCCAGATTATTTTATTTAAAGCATTAACAAATTCTTCTGACGTTGGGAGGAAACAATCCTGAAAAAATTCTGAAGTAGAGGGTTGTGATGGAGAAAGAATAGTGAAAAAAGTAATATTTTTTTGGCACCTCTTTAACAAACTCTATTTGTAAAATGCCAGGTAGGGGGCTTGTCACCAATGAATAAGGAGCTGCAGGGGAGTATATCTTTCTCAGAATGAATTAAAATTTAAAAAAGCAGTCAAGGGTAATACTTTGTTCATCTTTCTCATCAAAATTTGGTCCACTTCTTCATTTGTCACTCAGTTGTCCTAAAATAAAACAAAACTATACCTTTGGTTACAGCGTTAACTCTTTTGGTGTAAGAGCTGATGCCTTTGTTTTGCTCCTCAGGTAGATTTTTCATTATCTTCACCGATCTTCTGAACCCGTGAATACTTTTTGCACGATGATTTGAAGCAGCCAGGAGGCCATGACAGTGGCCAGGAGAAGCAGCAAGGAATTGAGCCTTGTACATTTTTCTCAAAAAAATAAAAGATGGGGAACCACCATGCCCGAGACAAGAAATTAGTTTGTGAGGAGACCTTCAAGTTCTGTAAATGGCAGAAAAAGAGACATCTTTCTTGATTTGTATCCCAATTATTTTTCTTAATTAAATTAACTTAACAGGGAAAATAGAATGCAGATCACATGGCAGCTATTATTAGGCCTTTTTCCTAACTCTGCCATGACTCTGGTCCCCCCAACACACCTACATGTTTTTCCCTTTTTGTGGTTCATGCAATTTCTTCTGCCTGCAATTCCAGTAAAAATGGAGACTCAGGGAACGAATGTGAGACATGTTCAGAAGGAATAATTTTCAGGATGTATGAGTGATGAAATCTAGGAGCCAGGAAGTTGGAAGAGTGAAGAGAGAACTCAGAAGATGGAACATACTTAAGAGGAAAGACTAAAATTTTGGTTCAGTGGTGTCATCTAGATGGAAGTGTAAGAAGGAAGATGGAAATAGGGCACTACAGAATAGAAAGAACTACAAAGAAAAATAAAGTAATTCACAGAAAGAGCATTTATTAATGGACACCAAGTGTTGGGTGTAGATCCTTTGAGAATGACATATTTTAACCACTCACAAATTCTCCAAACACTATATGCACCAGACAATATGGCAAGTCTATTTAAAGACAAGTAAGTCATGGTACACAAACAAACTCTGTTAAACCAAGAACACATACCAAAGTTAGGGAAACAAAGAGAAGAGGAGGAATAATTCTACCTAGGGACAAGAGGAAGAGAGAAGGAGTTAGGGAAGACTTCCCAGAAGAGGCAGCATCTGAGCCAGTTCTTTCAGAATTTATGGGAGAAGAAAGAAAAGGTAATTTGGAAAAAGGAAATGCGGAAACAAATGAGTAAGATATAAGAAGGGAAGACAGAGAGTACTATATTACACAAAAGATTTACCAAATCCAGTAATTCACAAGCTATTTATTTTGTCTGATTATAGAAAATAGCTTCCATATTTTCCTTAAAATTACTTTAAGTTGAGGGCCTGGGCTGTGTCTTACCCAGCTGCTCTACAATGATCCTACAGAGAAGGTTCCTAGACTTTAATTTAGTACATATATTTCTTCTAGTACAGATTAGTTGAATTAGTAAGATGCTGTGATTTATAATTTATGACATTAAAAAAAATCCTTGATCCATATATATTTGTGAAGTTCTTTACTTTGCTTTATTTTAAGAGGCAATCATAAATATAAGTTTAAGTGAACTGACCTAAACCATACACTTGGGTGGCAACAGCAGTTATTCCCATCAAGCTATCTAAACCCCACTGTCTGAAAAGGGCCCACTGTGTTATAGAAAAGGAATTAACCAAGCACCTTCACGGCTCTCACCTTTTCATTGGCCATTGAGTGATACCACCAAAACAGCCGTGTTGTGATATAATAAGCAATGATCACATCGACAGTATAGTGTTCATGTGCTACAAGAATGCAGATGATCCCGGCAGCACTCAGCAGCCAGCAGATTAAATGATACCACCAGAAGTGACGAGGCGAATCTGGACAGTAGAAAAATCATAGAGTTAATAAGTTTCCCAGAGATGAATGTAATGATTACAGTCTGTCCTAATTTCCTTAAGTAGAATAATCTAGGATCAGAAAGTCATCGGAAGGAAAGCCGATAACCTAAAATGAGTCACTATTTGAACTGCCCAGGAAGGACAAAGAGGGGCCCCCTGATAGCAGGTCTAATAGTCATTCACTGGGGAGGCTAGTAACACTAGATATTCTAGGTCTTGCTTACTGCCAATAAGCCATTTAATAAGGAAGAGAACAGAATTGTTTCCTATTAGGTTGGCTGAAACTGCCTCATATAGGCCCACATAAAGGACCCCACTGGGAAAAACAAACAACAAACAGTAGGAACCAAAATACGAGGTAGTTGTCTATGAAAAGAAGGGAGAAACAATGAGAAAGCAGTAGTCATTTCAGGTCTAAAATTTACACTGATTTCTCCAGGGGTATCTATAAGGTAAGGGCATGGGTTGGGGAATTGCATTGTGGGTAGCAATATTTTGATTCCCAGCAATTTTACCCTGTTATTGCTAATAGCAACTATAAAGCCCTCCCTACATAAAGCTTTGCGTTCTTGATCATTCACTTATGGACTTTTAGCCTGCTTGGCCAAGTCACTAAGAAGTTCATTCCATTGATCAGCTGTAGGAGAGAACTACAGCACTCATCGGGTTAAACATGATCTTCTTACCCAAGTGTTAATGACAGATATAATTGGAAACAGAGTTCATATCTCTAATGACTTGGTCATCTGTTTCTTTTTCTAGTTTAAAATTTATTAGCTCACAACAAAAGTTAATAAGCAGATATTAATTTTATATTTAACTGTGCTTATATTCACAGTGATATTTACTTTCAAGTGCAGAAGAATGGGTGAATAGCAAAAGGACCCATTTTGAGAACTTCAGATGAAGTATTACATCAGATATCACTCAAACATAACATTTTTTTTTTAGTAAAATAGCTGTTGTTCTGTTGGTCTCAAGTGGAACAGTATGAAAATAAACATGTGTTTGCACTAGAAAGTCTGATTTTCAAATTCTGGATGTGTTTCTCATTACTTCTCAGTTACTTCATCCTGCCACTAAGTCTGGCAGATAACTTGTGGAATCCAAGAATTCTACTGCTGGGAGAGGTCTTACTCTTGCAGCCTCAGGGGCCAGATCCAGTCCTAACAGTTCTGTTAGGCTCAGAACTTTAAAAATTGAAAATGACATTCAGAAATTTGGAGGACTCACTAAATATGCATCTCCAGCACCACAGACCCCACCCCTTTGCTAAGGTCTCGCACCATATTTGCCTTAAAAGTTCAAAATGTGTGCTCGAACTAGAACTACTTTGTTTATTTATAAGAAGCAAGACTGAAGTTGGTAAGGAGTAAGGAAGTGACCTGAATGTTCATTCTACTTCTCATGGAATTGAAAGTGAGGTTTTGGGAATGGCTAGAAACTCTAGCAGTGCTCTGTCACAAAAATGTGTTTCCTATTTAGCTGCCGGCCTTGGACCACTCCTCATTAACTGAGAACACTGGCTGACCCAAAGAAAAGATTTAATGTAAGCTATTCTGAAATAGAAATGGCAAAATGGTAATCCTCTTTGTTCTGTCACTCAACCCATAGAGATAACAATCTAAAAGATGATGACATAAATAATAATTATCTTCATTGTCTGAGTAGGTTTCTAGCCCTAGTTGGCACTAAATAATAAACAAAACTGTTCTTGACTAGCCAGTCATTTGATGCTAACTGCCAGGCTGTTTTTACAAGGAACCTAAGCCCTAATTATATTTGCACAACTGTATAAAGCCCTCTTCTGCTAATCCCAAAGTGATCCTGGTCCCACATTTTCATATGCTCTCACAACCAAATTCAAATTAAATCCACTCATAATAGAGCAAACGAGGAAAGAGTCCAAACTGATCAAAAGGCAGGAGAGCAAAAGATATATAAATGATGCATCAAATCTAGAAGCAGACTTTCCATATAAGCCACTGCTTACTCAGAATAACACCTGGTATAATTTAGAAGATAATTGTTTTTTTTTAATTGCGTAGAAAACAGACATGAACATGGAATACCCTGTTTATGTACAGAACTGACTAAAATGAATTTGTATTAAATATCACAGATTTCTCATTGTATTTCTCACCAAAAATTAGAAAAAGCAGAATGTAATTCTTTCCATGCTATACACAGACTTACACCATTTAAAAAATCTCACATCAAAATCATGTCTTGGGGGGAAAAAAAGTCTCTATATACTGGAGTAGCTTTCATTAAAGTATAAAATGAATCACAAGTTGCCTTGCAATTACTCTGAGGAGAAAGAATGTACAATAATGAGCATTATACCCTGCTTAAAGATAAGGAGACTATTCTTTGGCAATTCTGTAGAGTCAGAAGCTTGAATTTCCAAGATTCCAAGTAGAGCCAAGAAATTAAGAGTGTAACCTCTGGAGCCGGCCCACTTGAGTCTGAATACCTGATTCTCCAAATGGTAGCTGTGGACTATGGCCAAGTCACTTTCTCTATGCTTAAGTTTCCTCATCTGAAAAATGGAGTAAAATCATGCCTCCCACATGGGAAGGTTGCAAGGATAAAATGAGTTAATTTGCATTTAGGACTTAGAATAGTGCCTGGGACAGAGAAAGTTATTATGCTTTTAATGTTAATACCAGTCAGTCTTCAGTTATTTTAGAAAACTGTCTCTCAATTACCTGGGGTGTTTTCTCTTCATCACTTTTTGGTTTTCAACATATAGTACCTTCACTCTGACATGCAACTCTCTCCCTCCCCTAATTCCCATCCTCTTCCATAAGTTTTTTTGTGATCCTCAGATTAAAGATCCTACAACTCAAATGTACTTTGAGACTCTAAAATGATTGATCTCACATGCAGATGGAACTTTCCTTGGCAAAAGTTAGAACCATAAACACCACACATCATTTACCCACCCTCTAGGACCAATAACTAGATATTAGAAATGTAGTGACTACACTTAAGGAAGAGACCATCCCCTGATAATAATGTAGACGTAGATCCAGTTCCCTCACACCCCCCCGCAAAGAGTGTGAGAGTAGAAATAAGGGGGAAAGTGCGGAAGGCCCTGTACCTTTAAGTCAAGTATGAGCCCCACAGCTCATGCACTATTCCTTCCTACTGTAAGTCTGTATATAGAACTTACGAAAGGAACAGTACAGAAGCTCTGAAATTCTCACAAAAAAGACTCAACTTTATCTACTGAGAACTCAACTCTTTTTGTCATATTTCCCTCAAAGTTTAGAGCTTAAACTTAAAGTCCAGGCTATCTGTGGGACAAGATAACCTGGACTACTGAAGGTAACCCTTGAAGTCCACACTGCCGCTAGGTCAGGATAAACCTATTTGGATTAACTAAGGGCCAAGAGAGGAGGGAAGAACAGTTAGGACAGGGAAGAGGAGGGTTTTTTCTGCTAGTCTCTGCTAAATGAGAAAAACTGAGATAAACCTCTAAAAAATACTAGCTTGGGTAATTTGGAACTAAAGATGAAGGTTAACACTGATTAACTATGCAAGCACAAGGGAAGAAGCATTATTACTTCAAAAGGATTTTTGAGATGATGGGCCTAAATATACAAAACCTCAGAAGTCTATAAGAATGGGATCAACTGGGCAGCTCAAACCAAATACAACCCTACAATGAATAAGACATTATTTCAGCCAGAAAAGTCACTGAAAAACACAAGGAGTTTGTATAATGGGAACTGAGTATATAAACATGGACAGAGATTTTAATTTCTTGCCTCCATGTTTCTTCTTAAGAAGAAAAAAACACTATTGGCAAAATGTCCCATGAGGGTGACTATTAAAGGATAAAAGGTGACTGGAAAATGATGAAATTGGAAAACAGTGGACAAAGAAATGTTTTTAAAATGGAAAAACATTAACTGAATTATTTGGCACGAGATAGAATGGAAATGTCATGCAAATAATCCAAAAGTCATTGACATTTAGCTTTAGAATGTGCCAATCTTTTTTGCAATAAACTTAACAATTAATTCCAATGTCAAGATAGCATTTCATACCTTGAGAAGTACTAACCAAAAGAAGAGAGATGCTTTGGAGGCATGCTAAATGTTAGAGAAGCCAAGACTAGGTTTTAAGCCTTTGGGGCTCAAATAACATAGGACTATTGAAATGATAAAAAACATATATACACACCATCTGTCTCTTTCGTGGCTATGAAACCCAGTAGAATAAAGGCTCCCATCCATTTCTCAGCCAGCGATTCCTCCCACTATAGCAATCAATTCCGCGAGAATGAGCTATTACTTACATTCTTTGATGAACAAATAGGTAAGTGTCAGCACAACGGTGTGACCGCTGAAGAGGAAGTCTCCACATAAGATATGTGATCCAGTAATGGACAATCCACCACCAGAAATCAACCGTAGAATCCGTTGTACTTTTGCATGAGAGTCTCCATTGAGCTGAATGATACAAGAAGATGAGAAATAAAATTTACAAGCTGATAAAATCATGTTTCTGTCCAATTGTGCGACTCTGAAAAAGGTCACCCCAGGTTGTGTTTTTCTTTCTTTTCTTTTTGAGTAGGGGTCTCACTCTCCTACTCAGGCTGGAGTGCGGTGACGTGATCACTGCTCACAGCAGCCTCTATCTTCTGGGCTCAGGAGATCCTTCCACCTCAGCCTCCCAAGTAGCTGGGACTATAGGTACACGACACCATGCCTGGCTAATTTTTTTATTTTTATTTTTGTAGAGATGGTCTTGCCATGTTGCCCAGGCTGATCTCGAACTCCTAGGCTCAATCCTCTCACTTCGGCCTCCCAAAGTGCAGGGATTATAGGTGTGAACCCCTATGCCAGGCCTCTTTTTCTTTTTAACCTAAAAAAGTCTAAAAGTATCCAGAAGGAAGCTCCTCAAGCTGGGTTTACTCACTTATTGGCAAGTTTTATTGACAAATTTTTGACCTATTCAATATGTTACTAATAATAAGTCTTGGTGGTAGTGTGTCCTTGGGCAAAGCTTTTAAAAATATTAATAACAAATGACTTCACCAATCTATGTGCTAAAGAGCAGATCAAAGCTACTTTCCTTTTTGCAGGGGGAAGTGAGGGTTTTGGACGGTTAATATTTGATTCAGCTGCATACCACATTACCAATATTTTACAGTGCATTGATACCTTGTATTAAGTGGGCAGTCTAAAGTGTAGATATAGCTATATTAATGTCTGTTCAAAACATTTATAGTTAAAGAGAGGAGCTGCAACTCATTAAATAATTTAAATAGGTTTGAAAATGATGGATTAGGGATGTACTAGCTGCTTTAAAAATGAGTAGCTTTGATCAGGAAAAATATCTCCCAAAGAAATCATCTGTGAGCTGCGGCAGAAGGCAGGGAACATTCCCTTGACAGGGTCTAGAAACACCTTGAAGCCATTGTGATGACATGGGAAACAATGTTGGGCCAGGGTAGGAGCTGGAGGTAATGATTAGAAGTTCATAATCTTTTTTTTTTAAAGTTACGGTCTCACTCTGTTGCTGAGGCAGGAGTATAGTTGCACGATCATGGCTACTGCAGCCTCGACCTCCTAGGTTCAGGCAATCCTTCTGCCTGAGCTTCCTAAGTAGCTGGGACAATAGGCTTCTGGCTTTTTTTTTTTTTTTAAGTAGAAACAAAGTCTTGCTATGTTGTGAGGCTGGTTTCGAACTCCCAGACTTAGGTAATCCTCTCACTTCAGTTTCCCACAGTGCTGGGTTTACAGGCATGAACCAGAGTGCCCCATCTAGAAGTTTATAACCTACAAGTTCAATCATATAGGAAAATGTTGTTTAAAATGTAGGCACAGAAAATTGGAAGACTGAAATGTTGGTAGGGCTAGAAGGAGGGGTTCAGACCAGTCTAGTGCAGAGCAAATAGGCTGAGAAATGCTCAGAAACAAATCATGTAACAGTATACCTGGAAGAGAGGTATAGAAAGACCATCACTGACTATTCATTTGGGACCTGGGAGGACAGGCATATGATATGACATGTTGTCTTTTTTTGTTTGTTTTTTGACTTGGGTCTCATTGCTCAGGTTGAAGTACAGTGGCATGGGTAACAGCTTGTCACAGTCTTGACCTCCTAGGCTCAGGTACTTCTTCCTCCTCAACCTCTTGAGTAGTGTACCACCATGCCTGGATAATTTTCTGATTTTTGTAGAGATGAGGAATTGCTATGTTGCCTAGGCTGGTCTCAAACTCCTGGACTCAAGCAATCTTACCACCTCAGCCTCCCAGAGTGATGGGATTATGAGCATGAGCTACCGTGCCTGGCCCATGCTACATTTTGTACTCTATGATTATTCTTCTGGGCAACTGACTTCTGCAGTGTGGCCAGTATAGCAATGTCAGTGGTTACAATGTTGGTGGTGAAGATAGGATAGTGTCTTATCCAAGTGGATCCATGATGGTGAAGGAAGGTAAGATGTGTACAGATGGATAGGGAGAAAGTCTAGGAGTAGAGAGATCAAGTCAGTCCCCAAAGCAGGTGGAAAACCACCCTGTCTCCAATACAATAAGGAATTGAGGCAAGATTCTTTGTCTCAAACATTTATCTTGAGGTGCCTAAAAATGTTCTGATTTAAAAAAACTTATGGATCAGGAAAGCCTTCTGGCATTCAACAGACCCTTATAAAAAGGCAAACACACCATGCTTGACAATAAGGTGAGAATAATGTACTGCATAGAAAATGACATAAAGTAGGCTAAAGGTAGAAAATTTATCTTCTTCACAAGTTTGCCTATGGCAAGCACAGGTGGCAAACCAAGAGAATGTATGTATGTGACTAAGAATAGACAGTCCTTAAAGCAAACATGCCTAGTAAGAAGTGATCCTGCCTTGAAAAGACAGAATCCAGAAGGCAGTAAAGGGTCCATACCTCAGGAAGACAAGGGGATTGTTGACAGAGTTGCAGGACTTCGGGCTCACCTAAGAAAAGGTATACTGCAACTATATAACATAATGCGATGCACTCTTGCTATTTATGATAGAATCAAGCCATGTGCTTGATCAGATCAGCCTCAGTCCTTCAGGAATTTCTTGTCACGAGGTTAGTACAAACAACTGTTAACACAGAAATCAAATAAAAAGGTACATATACTCTGCCTGACCATTGTGTACCCAGTTTAAAAGGATACATTATTATTTATCTCAAAACCATAATAAGTTTTTGATCCATGCATCCATCCCAGCGCTATACTATATTTTTCTAAGGGCAGAACCACTTAAAGTCATCAATTCCTTTACTTGGGGCTAGATGGATTCAAAGGTATAAACAAACTAAGAACTGTAATAAGCCACACATTTTCTCCTCTTCCCTCTTCCCTCTTCCTTTCGGCAGTATTGGCGTATGGAGATTTTCGCTAGCATTTGATTCAACATGCCTTTAGCAAACAGAGGAAAGACTGTCTACTTACTCTTTCTGTGTTAGTCCTTAATTCCTCAGATAGAATCTCAAGAAAAGAAGGGGGAAAAAAAAGAGAGTAAAAGAAAACCAGGAGAGGAGGGAGAATAGTGTTAGGATAAATAAGATTTTTTTCTAGTTCTATTCCTGTTCACTGGAATTCCCCCTCACATATCACATAAGACTCGTTCCTACTAATTTCCTCTTTTGCAGACACCATTTTGTGGCATTACTGAATAAGGAATTGAAGACATAAAAAGCTAAGATGGGAAGCATCAATCAGAGCAGATAGGAGCTCAACTACTAATAAGAAAGGGTCCCTCCAACTGTGACCACCAAATACCACTTCCCACAAAAATAAATTAAGTACAAAAGAGATAAACTTGGCTGCTGCCAAGAGAAAAACTTTACCATTCACATTGCTCCTTCAATTAAAGAAAGACGTCATTTGACCATCTATTGGCCAAGGTGAGGAGAGGTAAAGACAGCTTCGGAAAGCTTTCTCAGGGAAGGGGCAAGTCACGATCCCAGCCAAATATCCTTAGATGTTAAAAAAACAAAACTTGAAAAGTCATTTCATGAAATCATTTCATAATAATTTGAGCCAAAATTTATTTAAGACTTATCTGAACACACTTTGAAGAACATAATTTGGGGTAGGTTGTTGCAGCAAATTGTAAGCAAAAAACTTAAAACATAGGACAGATAAGAGAGAAGGCAACTAGAAAACTGTGAAAGTCAAGCATTTTTACCATGATGGTTCTTGTGATCATACCTGGTGGGTAACTAGTTTTATTTGGCATCAGTTACTAGATCAGACAACTTTCAATAGTGAGTGGCATCAGTATACAAGTTTCTGTCATTGCTCATAGTCATGAAGGGCATTCTACAGAGTCAGCAACCTACGAGGCAGGTAGATTATCTAATAGCCTTGTAATCACAAAAATCTAAGCAGCATTCAAAGCCAGAAGCTGAACCAAATTTAGAATGCAATTCTGACTCCTGTTCTGTAACTCCTCAAGTCCAACAAAGTCATCTGTCTTTGTTTTATTGAACCATGCACAATTTAGGCACCTATGACCTGCTTATGCTTCAGGAAGAAGTTCCAACAACAGAACATGGGAGATGATTACACCAGAGTTACCACTAGGAATATCTGTAGCCGGGTTATCCAGCAGCATATTTATTGATGTGGTTTCCAAAAATTGCAGCTCTTCCATGAAGGACAATCTTTAATTTACTGTCTTTCTGTAATCATAGCAATTCATCCCTGAAAACCTCATCCACTGCTAGGATGGGGTTGCCTTCCTTTCTGTGGCTGTTTCTCCATTTAACACGTTGCAACAGCCCATGAGAAGTGTTTATTATGCTTCTGAACTCCTCCCATACCTTAAATTAGATTCACTAAAAATCAGTCAATGTTTAAATTCAATATGTACACTGTTTTAATTACAGTGTTTTCTGCTTTGATGGCTTTGGAAAGTATAGCTTCTCCAAACCACATCTATATTTGGTGAGGGAGACTGTGGATGTCTTCAGAACAACTCTATTTTTCCTTCACCTCAGACATCTGCTTTGTGTTCAGTAAAATATGATGTTCGGCTTCATTCCTTTGTCTAGAAAGCACATGATTTGCTAGTTTCCATTTCATAAACCAGGATGCACTGGGTCTGAGATGATTCACAGCTCCCTCAAGAATTGACTATGTCTAGAGAAGCTGCAATTCCTGCTTAAGACAGCTTCAGTAGACACCTTTACACTGTATCTCAGTAAACAGTCACTCATATCTTTCCAACTGCTAAAAAATTGTCAAACCCATATTCAACTTATTAGCACATCCTGTTGGTCCTATTTTCAAAATGTATCCCAAATTGAATGACTTCTCATTACTTTCACTGCCACCAAGAAGGTCAAAATTCCTACAATTGGGCTGAAGGTTCTATGGCATCTGGGGTCTGTACCACCCCAACCTTTCCAAACTCCACTCAGACACACTGGTCTCCCTACTCCTTCTTGAAACCATCGTGACTAAGCTACTTTCTTAGCCTGGAGCTCTCACCCTGCACATGGCTCACTTCCTCATCTTGGTTCTTGCCAAAATGCTTTATTAAAGAAGCCTTTCTCGACCTCTATAAAAAATAGTTCCTACTCTCAGACTCCCCTTCACCTTACTCAGCTCTGCTGTTCCTCCATCGGATAAATCTCCTGACTTATCATCGTGTGACAAATTATAAATTTGCTTATCATCTGCAATCCCTCAATAGAATACACGTTCCACCGGGCTAAGTTTATAATCCCAGCACTTTGGGAGGCCAACACGAGTGGATTGCCTGAGTCCGCGGGTTCGAGACCAAGCTGGGCAACCTGGCGAGACCTCGTCTCTATAATAAATCGAAAATTAGCCGGGCATGGCAGCACGCGACTGTAGTTCCGGGTACTTGGAAGGCAGAGATGGAAGGATTGCCGGAGTTCAGAAGGTTGAGGCTGTGGTGGTGGTGAGCATGCCACTGCACTCCAGCCTGGGCAATGAACTCAGACTCTGACTAAAAACAAAAACAAAAACAAAAAAAGAATACCAGTTCCAGGAGAGGGACTTTGTTTTGGTTATTAAGGTGACTGCTATCTAATACTTGTCGAATGAATGCATTGATGAATAAATGAGAAGGTAAAAAACAAGCAGTCAAATTTCCAACAGTAATTTTCATTTATCAGAAAATCAATTTTTCACCACAGATAAACATTTCATGAATACATTTTAATTTCTTCCCCTCAAATATAAAGAAAAAGAAAACAAATGCTAGATTTCAGTTAACACCTATAAAGATGTCTAAAAGAGTGTATAATAGAGGGTAGATTTCTTGGTTTTCTCTAAATGGTAGCTCAGAGATGCTTACCTTTGGAGCACACTGGAAATGCATTCCAGGCACAGGTAGAGTAGTAACATACATGGTAATACAGCGATACAGGTATAAAGTCCCAATGATAAAAAAGAATCTGCGCCCCACTATTGACCTAAAGGAAAAACAGGGGTGGGGAAAAAGAGGTTTACTGGTTTTTACTCCTGATGCAAAATGAAACAACATTTAGCAGGATAAAGAATAATTAGCAAAGAATGGCATTAATAAACAAACCACAGTTTCACAGAGTTTAAACGTTTATTTGTGAGCTGCCCATCCCTAGGATTTCATGGAGTGATGGCACCACAGTTTTCAGAAAGATTCACATACTGCAATAACTACAGGTGGTTTGAGGCCCAGAAATATGAGTGTGTAGAGCGGAAAACTAAAGTAGGTAAGAGAGTCTGCATAATCGCCTCTCCGCAAAAAGTCACTCTTTGCCAGAGAATGCAATCAACCTCTCTATATTTTCAGTCAACTCACTACATTAATAAAACCCTCTCTTGAGAAATATCAAAGGTATAAGCAAGCCACAGTAACAGAAGAATTAACTAATGAACCAAGGTGACATTACATAATTGGACACATAGGGAAATGTGACAGTTCATTTAACCCAAGTTATATAAGCAAGGTTTATTTGGGGGACCATCCAAAGGTTCGTTGACAACTTGGGCATGAACTACTTTCTCTATTATTAAATATATTTTTTCAGATAATTGTATCTTGAAGATGCCCAAAGTGCCCTTATGCATTTAAGGACATTTAATAGTGAAGTTGTAAACTGACTGGTTTACTCTGATGTTACTAAATTTTGATCAAAAAGGAAAAAAAGTTCCACAAGTCCTTTTTCACTTTATATTTTTTGTGTAGAGACTGTTGTCTTAACAAACATTAGTCCTTGTGCTTCATTTCATTGCCTAAGTCCTCAGTCTAAGAAGTCAGGGTTCCCAGAGATTGACTTTGAGCATACTGTGCTCCAACAGGAAGGGTCTGCCCCTGCACCTCTGTCTCATGGGCACCTGTATGGTTATCAAGAGTTTGTGTCCTCACTCCAGCTGAACATGACAACTCCTTTTCTGTTGTGTAGTTAGGTCTATAAACTCTGGGTTCTGAGGATTAAGAGATGAGTGGAATTCCATATAAAACCCCTAGGATTGCTAGTTGCAAATTCCTCATACGAAAAATATATTATTCCAGGTCTCTCATTTTCAGAGCTCTTAAACTTTCAAAACTAGTACTGATCAAAGGCTTCTTGAAAAAAAAAAGGCAGTTTTAGGCATAGACATATTTTAAGTTTTCTCCAAAATTGTAGTTCTGACAGGAATCGAGATCTAATTCAGGTAACTGTTGGTACTTCTAATTTGAAGAATTATGTATAAATATATGTTTCAGCTGTCTGTTTTCAACAGCTATTTTAAGACTATTCCAGGGTTTCTGGGGTCAACAAAAAAACAGAAAGGAGCAGGCAGCACATGGACTGGTAGATGAAAGAATTTATTTATCCCAAGGCATTTCTTTAAAGGCTTGCTATTCTAGCCCTGCCTTTCCTGGAACTGAAAAGGAACAGGCAATAAACAGTGCTAAGTTTCTCCCCTTGGTTAAGTGAAAACCAATTCACCCTTTGATTGAACCCCAGGTTCCAAAAGAGTGATGTTTTGAATTGTGCTCCATGCTGTTAAATAAGGTGAAGTAATAAGCAGAAACTACTATGAGTCAATTACATTCATTCCAGCATTCTGAGTTCAGCTGTACTCAGAACACAAAACTAACTCAGAAGTTGAAACATGCATTCTGCTGCCTTATTTAGAAAAAGACCTAGTGCTAATGATTTTTTCCCACAGTTTTGAAAGTTGCTTTTAAAAGAGAGCAAGTAGGAATTCTCATTAAACCAGGATGTTTAAAACAGGTTATAAAAATTATTCTACTAGTTACTAAAATATGAGATCCAATTCTTTAAAAGTGAAAAGGCAAACTAATGTGGTTTGTGACTGAAACAGTGGATGTCATTAACATGTATGGCCCAGCTATGTGGCCATGAGTCCTGACATGATGAAATCTAAGGTGGTAATAGAAAGGCAGTTCACAACTACATCTAGATACAAATTCGAATAAACTGAGGTGAAGCTTGTACTTCAAGGTGGAGTCCAGCTACTTACCAGATTATGGAAAGTTTCTCCTTTCACACATATATGAATAAGACTTTACTCCAAATTAAGGTAAAAACAGACATCTGTGACCCTAGCAGTCTCTCTTACATTCAGTGTCAATTGCAGAAAAATACTAGTATTCCAGAAAAATACTAAAGTTCAACAAATATCTTCACTGCTTTTAGCATAAAGAATGCTAAAATTAACAATTTCAGAAACCACTTACTTCTAGTAAGTTAAAGACAATTGATGACTAAGTCTTTTACTTAAGCATATTAAGGAAACATAAAGAGAGTTATATTAAGGAAGATGCTTAGGAATGACTTCAGTTTGTGGAATATGTTTTTAAAGCTGCAAAGTTGAATTTGGGAAACTCTTTAGCAAAGATAGACTAAATTCATCTAACTTCAAAGCAACAACCAGTCAGTTGAAAGAACAACACAGATAAACTCTTTCTTCTAAAAATGATCTTGTGGTATTCACACTGAAATCTTATTTGAGGCCAGGCTCGGTGGCTCAGCCTGTAATCCCAGCACTTTGGGAGGCCGAGGTGAGTGGATTGCCTGAGCCCGCGGGTTCGAGATCCGCCTGGGCAACTTGGTGAGACCTCATCTCTACAATAAATCAAAAAATTAGCCGGGTGTGGTAGCGCACGCCTGTAATTCTGGCTGCTTGAAGGGCTGAAGTAGAAGGATCGCCGGAGCCCAGCAGGTTGAGGCTGCAGTGGCCACTGCACTCCAGTCTGGGCAACAGAGTGAGACTCCAACTCAAAAAAAAAAAAAAAAGAAAGAAAGAAAAGAAATCCTATTTGATTTCTAATTTTCAAATTGTATGAACACAAGTTAGCATATATTTTTCAAAACTTCAGATTACGGGCAGTGTTTTGATCAAAGTCATACTCTAGTGATTTAATTTCTAGAATCCTAGGAGAGAACAAACATCTAAATGAATGAATGAGATGAAAGGGGGAATTGAGAGGTCTTCATTTTTATGGACTAGAAGTCAGAATTCATATAGAGAAGTAGAAATAACCACTTTAGAGCTATGTCCACATTTTTAAGTGTCTTCAAAACAAAAGTACCTGGCTTATTACTTCCTGATTTCCTACTATTCCAAAATAGGGAGGTTGAATCCAGTGAACTGAGAGAGCTCCTTTGTGGCAATGGGATGGGGTGGGGGCGGGGAGGAAGACAATCAAAACCACACAGACCCATTTCTAAATTCAGTTGCTTACACAAACTCTTGTAGCTAGATGACCACTAGGCAAAAACTTTAAAAAGGTAAAAACTGAGAACTCCTGACCCAAGGCAAACCTCAGAGCAGGCTATTGACTATAGATCAATGTAGTCATCACATTATGAGTAAGGAAGAAAAGAGTTTCCTGGCTTGCTCCTTTCTCTACCTGTCAAGAACCTGAAATAACGCAAGCATGATGAAGTGAATGCTATTCCTTTTCAAACAAATACCATAGCACCACGTTGCTGGAAATCAGGAAATGCACCTTAAATTCATAAACTCTGAATCACCCACCACAGTACTGCTGTACATTGTCACTTCTATACATAGTTGCTCAATAAACACTTATTGAATAGTGACTGAATTTATACAATATGGTAGATATTTCTATTGCTCTCTTTCATCAAAAGCCTGGGTAAGACTTTTTATTTATTTATTTATTTATTTTTGAGTTGGAGTCTTACTCTGTCACCCAGACTGGAGTGCAGTGGCTGCTCCCAGCCACCGCAGCCTCGACCTGCTGGGCTCCGGCAATCCTTCTGCCTCAGTCTTCCAAGTAGCTGGAACTACAGGCACATGCTACCACGCCCAGCTAATTTTTGATTTATTATAGAGATGAGGTCTCGCCAAGTTGCCCAGGCAGGTCTCAAACCCGTGGGCTCAGGCAATCCACTCACCTTGGCCTCCCAAAGCGCTGGGTTTACAGGCTGAGCCACTGAGCTTGGCCAACTTAATTTATTTTTAAAAAACAGAGAGAAATAATCCCAGTTACACATCTACTCATTTAATGACAAACTCAAAAAACATAAAATCTACTTACTTGTATCTCAGAAACAGCCACTGGGTGATCCATAATCCAACTAATATAATCCCATTTATTTCTGATACAGAAAATGCCCATTTCACTCGATCAATGTAATCAAAAAACTTGTCTGGGAGTGGAGGGCTGAGCTCCTTGGGAGGGACCCTCTCGTGCACAACTGTGATCATGACAGTTGTCAAGACTAGGTTGAAGAGCGCATACACAAAGGCAATGCCTGTTTTCCACCACTCAAGGGGAAATTTGTTCCTCGATTCAGTGGGCATAGCAATTTGAATATAGTCTGGGTACTTTTTGGTGCCTTTTCGCAACCCATTAGATAAGCTCTTAGGTTTACCATTGCCATTTTTGCTTTCTTCTTCAACAGGTTCAGCAGGTCTTGTGTAAGTGATTGTAGGATCATTGGTCTGATTTTCCAAATGTTCCTCAAGTTTTGCTGTTTCTATGATATCCATTGTCCCCCAGTCTTCAGATCCAAAAGGAGATGGTAGAGTTCTTGTGGAAATTTAACTCTTAAAAATGCTTCTATTTTCAAGATCAACACAGACTTTTACAATGGACTTTGTTTCCTAATAAAAAATGTAGAAGGTAGCCATCTGATTATTATCCCTTCCATGCAGTTATCTGCTGTATATTCATCACTTTCAGGAAAAGAAGTCAATTCTTCTAAGAAAGATGTTACTATCCCACCTAAAAGCAAAACAAAACTATATTCAGAAACTGTTTGTCCAATTGTCAACCACCCAAAACAAAAACATTCTCAAAATAAGGAAACAAATACCAAAGACATTCGCTTCAGAAATATATCCTCAGAACATAAAAAAAGTATTAAAAAAAAAACAATTTATAAACTGCTGAGAGTTAGTTTATTTATAAAACATTGAATTGTTTTTATCTTGGAGATCTTGTCTCCTTTTGAGCATAAATAGAAACATTTTAGCAAGCAACTACCTTGAAATGTCTTTAAATAAAAGTCAGGACCCAACACTGCAAATACTTCATCAGAACTATCACTTGTTGCTAACCATGAAGTCATAATAAGCTAGTAACTCCCAGAGATCACATCATGCCTCCCTAAGTTTGTATATTTTCTATGAACCATAAAGAAAGAATAAAAAACTCTGGTGAGTTACTTACTTGCATTAAATAATCGTTACTTTCTGTGCTTGTCAAAATAGTCGATTTTCTGCAATTTCTACCCAACGATATAAAAGGGCATCCAGCTCCGTACTCACCCAGCAAGACACTGATGAGAAAGGGTACCTTAGGTTTAAGCTCCACAGGCTCCAAAGAGCACAGAATTCTTGACCAGACCAAGCACCACCACCACCACTTCTTTTATATTTGCTTGTAACACGGCCCCAGCTGTTCTCAATTTAGGAAAGCAGTATTTTAGTCCTGCTACAGAACCCAACTACCTGAAGAGGGTTTCAAACCTGGTAATTAGTTCCCACCCTGAGTACACTATATAACTTAAGCATAATTCTTTGCATTTTAAAGGCCTCCCTTTTCGGGTAACTTCAGGGAAAAATGAAGAGGAGGAAAAACTCCAAGTGGTGATAGCTAAGCTTTTATTTAATGAAAGAAAGGGGGAAAAGAGTGAATGAAAATGGCACAGGCAATATCTAGTACATATAACTAGTAACTCCCAGAGATCATCTGGTTACAGTTATGGGTGGCAAACAAGTCAAATACCAGTGTTTCTTGTGCACCTAAAATGCCCTGGCCAAAGAGCCTGAACTCTAACCCAAGAGACAGAAGTAAAATGACAAAAGAACACTGAACAATATGTTGGGAAAGGGAGGAGGGGGATGAGCTGATCGCTAGGTAAAAATGGGGGTTCAGTTGTAACGTATCCCTGCTCCCGTGACAAGATATACCCACACATAGGCACTGTGTCTGTTTCTAAGAAAGCAAAAGGCTGAGGACAGCTGTCCTGGTAGAGAAATGGGTTACTGCTGGGACATGAGACCAGCTAAAAGGTGTGGAGAATTATGAACATCTCACCTTTCTCTTGTCCCTTTCAAAAGCTCCCAGCTATTAATACGGTAGAACAGGATGAGAAAGTCCCAGTGCCCCTCTGGCTGACAGATGCTCTCTGCAGTGCCCTGCCACAATGCTGTGAGGAGAGTAGGTATCATGAAGAGGTGCCTCAGTAAGGCATTTTCAACAACAAACCTTCAACACCATGGATTACATTCTAATGGAGGCCCAAAGCACTGACTCAGCCATTTCCTGTCTCTCTTTACCAACCTAGCCTAATCTACTCATAGCATCTTGCCAAACTACTATCCAAGTTCCCTTCAACTTTACTATTCCACATGTGCTCCTGGCCTTGTGTTCATATATGAAAGAAGTTTGTGATTTTGAAATCCCATTTCACTTGTGAATGGTCTTTATAAGGTAGTCACCTAGTTCTAGAACACAGAATGTAGAACAGAAGAAAATCCAATTTGTTACTTTTTTTTTTTTTTAAGAGGAAGCACTCTGCCACCCACCTCATGGGATTGCTGTGAGAATGACTGAAATAATTAACTGTGAAGAGCTTTATGCCCCTGGGAATAAGAGCACTGTGTGAGAACAATGCCCATTTATCGTCATTAGTATTAGGGTTGATATTTTCCTAGGGATTTCATTAAGAAGATTAAATATACACAGCACATTCATCATGTGTCAACCAATCAGAACACAACGTTTGTCACCAAGATAACAATTGTAACATACTCATTCCTATAGTCATCATTTCCAGTGTCTGGGAAGTGGCAAAAGCCACAGTAGTTCCTCTCAATGGATGGCAATTCCATTAGTTCATTTGTTTAGGGCACTTATGCCAGAGCACAAAGCAGATGCCAAGCCTTCCAAGTCCTCTTACATTGCAAAATACTGGAAGTTAACCTAGATGACAGTGAAAAAAAGTTAAAGATCTCTACAGACTCATCCTCGTTTTGAAGGCAAATGCAAAATTCTGAAACTTTCAGTACACCGTTACTATTTTTAGTGTTTTGTTTGTTTTTTACAGCTAAGTATGACTTATTTTGGAAATGTAAGGAAGGTTTTAAACCAGGCAATGAATATAATAAATCATAAACTTATCTTCAGTGAAGCCAAAATGGCATTTTACAAAATTCAATATCCAACTGGTTTTTCAGGGAAAAAAGTATGCAATAATAGCAGAAGTCTGAAAAACTAGGTTCTTTTAATGCCAATTTATCACAATTTTAGCTATGTAATATATGTATTAATATGTAGTGGGAATAGTCTTCTACTGCTGCTTCCCTTTCACCCCTACGTGAACTTTAGAATCTGTCAAATTAAAAGAAAATACATACTTAGACATCATTGTGCTTCTATGTTTTACTCCCATCCCTCTACTTTTTAACATTGTTCTAGCCAGTTAAGCCAAGACAAGAAAAAGAAAATAGGAAAGTAATGGCTAAAAAGCAGAAAAGAAATGTATAAAATATTCAACTATAAGACTAGGTTCTGTTTACAAATTAAGCACATCCTTACAGAATCTATAATAACCAGTTAGAAAATCTAATAAAAATATGGTCACATACCTAACCATTAGCTATCTAAATAACCACTACAACAATGCAAAAATGCCCTCAAATCCTAACAGTTAAAAGGAAATGTCCAGACCTTATATAAAGAAAGCTATGAAAATTACTGTGATGGGGATAAAAGAAAGCACAAAGCTATACCATATTTATAGGTGAGAAGTTTAACAGACACAAGAGTTTTCCCAGACCTTAAGAAAACTTAGTTGTTACCATAAAGACATTAAAAAAAATCAAGAGGTAGAATAAGATAGCCACAAAATAATAGTTCTCAGCAAATATTGCTTATATTACCCAAGAAACTAGTAAGGATTTGATGTTACCATATTATATAATACCAATCATCTTATTTTAATAATGCCAATAGAATTTTTCCTGTAATCTGACAAAATGACTCTAAATTTCAAAAGAGAATAAAATGGTAGCAGCAGATTTGTACCACTAGACTATATTACATAATTAATATCACTTTTGCCCAGTTATCCTATTTTATGACTTTATCCTAAAGAAATAAGATGTCCACAAAATACTTTTACAAGCGTTTTTAACTGTTATGTATAAGAGAAAATTGTAAATAACCTAGTAACCAAGAACAGGGGTTAGCTCAATGAATTATGTTTACCTTAAAACTAAAAATACTATGAGGTGACACAGTAACTATAAAACTGCAAAAACAGATAACCTCATGAGCCCCTGCTCATAAATGGCATCCCACTGCTTCTAGTACCATTTTAGGTGAAAAGTCAATAATATCAGCAGTAAAAAAGCATATACATATACAAGTTTATATCTATACTTAGAGTCATTTCATCAGATTACAGGAAAAGTCCTATTGGCATTATTAAAAGATGACTAGTATTATATAAAATATGGTAACATCAAACTCTTACTGGTTTGATGGGTAATATAAGTAACATTTGCTGATAACTATTATCTTATGGCTATCTTATTGTACAACTTGATTTTTTAAATGACTTTATGGTGGCAACTGAGTTTTCTTAAGGTCTGAGAAAACTCTTGTGTCTGTTATATATTCTTGTGTGTGTGTGTGTGTGTGTGTGTGTGTGTGTGTGTATACACAAACATATACACAGGCATATATATATATATGTATACACACACACACACACAAAGAGAGATGTAGTATCCAAGTAAGTAGAAACTTCTATCTGGAAAGGATACGTAGAATCTCAATAATTCATATCAGAGGTTAAGGTTTTAAAAAAAATGGAAAAGGGCCATCTCAAGGCTACAAGACGAGGTGCAAGTGTGAAAGGTCCACCTCCACGAGACTAAGCATAGACATGAGCTCCAGTAGAAGGGTCCAGAAATGCTTTGCTTGCTAGACCTATTAGTTTGCCCAGTTGTATATTTGAAGTGTTTAAGACATATTAAATGTGAAAACATAATTTAAAAATTAAGAGAAGTTTATATATAAATTTTAATGTATAAGAGAACTTAATCTGTTGAGATAAAAACCAAACATTAATCAAAGAAACTGTGTTCCTACATTTACAAATTAGAGTTACAAACAAAAGAGATTTATACAGTGAGCTTAAAGGCTTAAGAAAAATCTAGGTCTTAAAACTAGGTCTTGAAACATAATTGTATTGAATTGAATTTTAGTAGAAACAAACAGCTGATGAGTTTCTTAAGAGATACAAGAACTTTCTTAGACCTTAAGAAAATTCAGTTGTCACCATAAAGCCATTAAAAAAAAAAAAAGCAAGCTGTAGAATAAGATAATCACAAAAATAATAGTTCTCAGCAAATGTTACTTTTATGCCCGGTACTGTACTTGTATATTATCTAATTAATTCTCATAACAACTCTAAGAAATATTATTAGCCCAATTTTAAAGAAAAGAAATGGAGATAAAGTGAGTTGCCCAAGGTCAGATAGGAAATGACAAGACCCTAGATTTGAACCAGGAATCTAGCCTCAAGAGCCCCTTTGCTTAAATGGCTTGCCACTGCCTCTTAGTACCATTCCTGGTGAAAAGGTCAACAACCTCGTCGGTGAAAAAGACGAAGAGAATTAATTATGAGCTTTCTTGTTTTAAGAGAGATGTAAATACATGGGAAAGTTCTCTAGATTGCATTATAGGCAACTTTTCAGGCTTTGTAATTGTGTAGAAAATCAATATGAACTTAGAAAAAAATGTTGATTATAATTCACCCTCCTTGTGAGGAAAAAAGAAAAGGAGTCTGTGAAAAATTTCCCTATTATCAGTATCCACCATTTAGTTATAGTTACTGTTAGCAAAAATCACCATATTAATCTGTAATATATGTATATCACTTTATGTTGACAGGATCCAATTTAGCTAAGGATTCTCATGCATATTAAGTTATTCTTAAAGACAAGGCCATGATAGCCCCTTCTTACTGACAGTGTTAGAACTTAACTTGCTTATAAAAGACTTCCCATCCAAAATGGAGAGGTATCAATATGCTTACAGATGTAAGGGCACTTTGTGAGTGATGGGATTCTATTTTAAAAGCACCCAAAAAATTTGTTAAGTATTTTTACTGACAAGTTTTTGAAAACTGAAAAGAAGATTCAAGGTTTACTAAAAAGTTATCATGTGTTTGTGAAATACATGGAAAAGAGTCCTTGTCAGATCATTATACGCTTTTATACTGCTACTAGGTCTCATACCATTTTTGGTATGATAGAATTTAAATTAAGGAAATGAGCAAGATTGGAGGTATCTTAGTGATATTTTATTCTGAGAATGGCATGGAAAAACATTTTTTAAAGTAAAAATTACAACTGGAAAATCAGCTACCAATGACTGACTGTACTTCTGAACCTTGGGGAAGATATGCTTGTGTACAGGATATATATTTTGATTTCTGGAACTCGCTTACCATTCCATACTAAGGTAGACTAGACTACTTTGGTTCTGTTTCCAGTTACTATAAAAAAAGAAAGATCCAGTCTATCAAATAGAGATAGAAAGTAATAAGTGGTTACCCAGAACACAGGTAGGAATGGGAAGTGACTGCAAGTGGGCTGGAAATTTCTTTTTGGGGTGATGAAAAATGTTCCAAAATTAGGTAGTAATGATGTTGCATAATTCTATAAATGTACTAAAAATCATTTCATTTTACCCTTAAAACAAATTATTAATTTTGTATCGAATTATAACTCCATTAAGCTGTTAAAAAAGGTATAGGCCATTGAGATAAATTGTTTATAAAGAACTAGAAAAGCAAGGAATATCCCATGCTGTTTTAAATTCCAGTTCACTTACCCCTTTAAAATGTGGCACTTTCCAGCTAAGCACTTCTTTAGCAGTGATTCTGAAATACACACATTTCTAAATTTTCTACGGACAAGATCAAGAGCTAGCCAATGAAAAACAAACTGTTTAACAAAATTTGTGTAAACTGTATTCCAAAAATAAGCTTGTAAGTAAACAATATGAAGTGACAAAAAACAGGTGAATTTTCTAACAGAATTCATCAGCATGTACTATGAGTTATCTTAAAAAGGGGAAAAATGGTCTGTTTTATTTCTCAGTAAAAAAAAAAAAATAGTCACTTTAAATGGCTAGGTAGACCATTTAATACTTGCTAATCTGAAAACAGTTAAGTTGTGGGACTGAGAGTATTTCATAAGAAGGTATGATCAGCAGTTCATAGTACAGCATTACAGAGGGTGAAATAGTGCTCACTTGTGTCAAATGTTTCTGCCTTAACTAAGTTGATACAATAAAGAAACTTCAATAAAACTTTAACTCTCAAAATATTCCACAGGATGTTAGAGTTTGGCTTCTTTTCATAAGTTATTTCCTAGCTGTTACTCTTTCTAT